GCAGGGGTTGGAGCTGGAGAAGCTTTAAGGTTCCTTCACCCCAAACCATTCCGTGATTCTCTGGCTGCCCTTCCCGCCAAGACAGAAGCTGCAGAGTCCCCACTGTAGGTCACTGGATAGAGCTGCAGGGGTCAGAGCTCTGGTGGGGTTTGGTGATGGCAGTTGGTCAGGCATGGAAGGAGCTCTTTGCTTTGTCTGTGCTGTGGGTCCCAGCAGTGGGCAGGTGGGACGGGTGCAGGGGGCAGGCACTGACCCTGTATGTGACTGCCCCTGTGCTGCAGCACGGCCGAGCGCGTCCTGCCAGGGGCCGAGTTCCACCAGTACGTGAAGGGCCAGCGCAGCGTCGTGCGCTCCCCGCGCCCCTACACAGTCCCCACCGGGCTGGCGGAGCACCTCGACTTCGGTACGTATTGCACGGGGGACCCAGGGCAGCCCAGAGCTCTTCTGCCCGAGCTGGGGGAGGGCGATTAAAGCACTGAGCAGCCAGCACTGTCTGCCTCGGTTTTCCAGAGGACAGGAGCAGATCCTCCAGGCTGCCCCTGGGCCCCCCTGAGGGGCTTTGTGCATGCCTCATCCCTGGCAGTTTGCAAGGTCAGGTTGGATGGGGCTTGGAGCCACAGCTTCTCTGGGAAACCTGTGCCAGGGTCCAACTTCCCTCCTCCCGTCAGGTCCTGCAGGGGATGGGCACCCCTATGGGACATGAAGCCTGAGTGAGGATGGTGAAGGGAGAGCCAAGGGACCATGATACCATCCTGCTGGAGCTCTGGGCTTTAACAGCTGCTTTTCCTGCTTGTTTGTGCACCAGTGGGTGGCCTGCACCGGTTCCCTGCGGAGAGAAAGATGGTCAGCAGAGCCTGGGTCAAGAAGGAGCTGGAGCAGCACCATGGAGGGAGAGCAGCTTTCCACCTGGGAGTGACACCTTCCGTCCTTCGTCAGAGATACAACATGACGAAGGGAGATATTGGGCTCCTGCCCAACAACAGCCAGGCCTGTGCCCAGGTAACTAGTGGAGCTGCTAGGGAATTCCTTCAGGAATTCCAGCTGCTGGTGCTTCTACAGCACTTCCCTGCTGTGCTGGTCCCAGGGCAACTGGGTGATTCCTTGGGGCTGGTGGGAGTATGTGGTGGGCTCAAGCTTCCTGGACCTGCTGGGACAGCTTCTGAGCAGGGACAAAAGCAACGTGATTTTTCAAGAGGAAATGAGACACCGCTTGTCCTGCCCTTGTTGTGCAGTTCCTGGAGCAGTACTTCCACCAGGCTGACGTGGCTGAGTTCATGAAGCTCTTTGGCAGCAGCTTCATCCACCGCACTCAGGTTGACCAAGTTGTTGGGCACCAGGGCATCGGCAAGGCTGGGCTGGAGGCCAGTCTGGACGTGGAATACATCATGAGCACGGGTGCCAACATCTCCACGTGGGTCTTCAGCAATGCAGGTACAGATCCTCTTCCAAGGATGCCCTGTGACTGCTTCCATGTGTCCTGCTGGCTGTGACACCAGCACAAGTGCTGAGGGAGCACTTGCTCTGCTGGTGTCTGCCCAGACACACATGAGCGGCTGTGGCACTCCATGGAATCATCATCCCAGACTGGCTTGTGTTGAAGGGACCTTAAAACTTCTCCAGTTCCAATCCCCTGCCATGGGCAGGGACACCTTCCACTAGAGCAGGTTGCTCCAAGTCCCTTTGTCCAACCCGGCGTTGAACACTGCCAGGGCTGGGGCAGCCACAGCTCACACTGCTGGGATGCAGCCCAGCAAAATGCTTTCCCAGATGCAACAAGGAGGGAGCGACCTTTTGGGCTTCCAAACTTGGAGCTGCTGCTGGTGTCTAATTGCTTACAGGGGAATCGTCTCCATTGGTTTGTGTAGCTGCTTTTGAGATGGTGTGAACTTTGAGTATCCTGTAACAGGCACTTCCACACCTCAAGTACACCATGTAAAGCATCACCCTGCTCTGCTCTCTTTCCATGGGGTGAGAGCGCAGCAACCCTGTCCTACTGTTTCTTTTTTGCTTCTTTGGGGTTGAAGCCTGACTCTGCCAATGCGGAGGATGAAGGAGGGGAAGGCAATCTGTAAAAACAGGGTTGCAAAACAGCCTGCACGAACAGGGCCTGTGGTGTCGTCTGTCCCAGATCAGAAACTGGCTAAGCAGGAGCCGGGTGCTCTGACAGCTCTGCCCTCCTGGCAGAACGTGAGCAGCTGAGTGGGGAGGGCTCTGCTCCCGCCTCATGGAGAGGGATGAGGGGCCTTGGGCAGGTGGAGGTGGAATCCTCCTTCCAGGAGCAGAGATGGGCTGGAGCAGTCTGAGGAGAAGGACTTGGGGTGTTGGGTGAGGGGAAGCTCCCCATGACCCGGCTTCAGTGTGTGCTTGAGCCCAGAACCTCCCCATGTGCTGGGTGCACCCCCAGAGCGTGAGCAGCAGGTCAGGGAGGGGACTCTCCCCCTCTGCTGTGCTCTGGGGAGTACCCCCCTGCAGGCCTGC